ACACCCGTCCAAGCCCGGATAGCCGGAAGGGCGGCGAACAAGTTTTCACTAAACGTTTTGGACAGGAACGCTTTGAAACTATCGGCGACGTCAACTATGGGGTTTCCTAAGGCGTCTTGAAGTATGGGGTGTTGCGCTTTTCTCTGCGCTTTGGCTGTGCGCGAATAGAGTTTCGCAACATTTAGAGAAGGGTTTTCATTGAAGTTGGCCTCATCGGCTATCTGCTTTTCTTAGGAGAGCTTCTTAACCTGCTCAAAGATCAGTTGGATCAAGGGCAGAACGGAAGTGTTTGTTACAACTACTCTAATGAAACACCATGCGTCCGGGGGTTGTGTTGACCCGTTCAGTGCATTTGTAGGGCACACCAATTTGATTTTTCTTGAAGAAGACGACTCTTAACGTTTTGTGCAGGAGGGCAGTCCACTAGAACGTCGCATTGTCACTTGCACACTATCCGAGTTCTTCAGATATGAGACTATTTATGTAAGACATTATGATCATAGTTCGGATTGCCCAGGCCGTCCAAATTAGTTTTCTTTTCACTGAGAAACGAATAACCTGTGTTAATAATTTGTCTAAATTATGAGGTCTTCGATAGCATCCTGCCCACTGCTCCTTCGCAAAAGGCGCACGCCTAATTGCTGGTCGAGATATCAGAGGGTACAAAAAATAAAGCATTTTACCTAGTCCTTTCAGTCTGATTTCGATTCGCCTAGATATGAGATTATCGGTCTGTAAACTACCTAAATAGGTGTTAAGAGAAGAAGCGATCTTAAAAGAACTGAGATCAAGAAGGAAGGTAAAGCTTCTGTTCCTGGCGAGATTCACAGAAAACTGATTTCCAAACATGCTCGGGAACCGAATAATACCTTAACCTTTTTGTACTAAAACCTGCTCTCTACTGAAATCCCTCCCAGAGATTGTAAAACAGTATGCAGTACAATTATTCACGAACATGGATGTCCGTTGCTTATTGACCTCAAGCTACCTCAAAGGCGTTGAGAGGATCATCAGAAGTGAACTGATGATTGCGTGGGAAACCTATAGTTTCCCAATCAACGGTGATGATTCCTAATAGCGATCCGTGCCAAGATTCGGTGCAATTGGCATCAAAGCAAGTCTTCGCATATGCAATGAACAGTTTTCCCGTCTTTATTTCCTAGTTGTTTTTTGTATAGAGTCACATAAATTAGGGCGTAACCAAGGGAGTTCACAGCCCAACAGCGTGCAGTGCGGAACCAGATCAATTTTTCCTATTTATTGGTGAGCGGATATATGATTTTGCATGATGGCTCCTGCGCTCAAGTAAACCAAATGCGCCATGCTGCAGTTCGAAATCCAAACAACGTCAGCAATAGGCGCACATACAGTCTTACCAGAATGCCATTCCAGGAAGCATAGAAAGAACCATCACGCCGTTTAAATGGTAAAAAACTCGTAAACCATAAGTAAACCGTGTTAAGGCGGATAAAGCTGCAACTCAAGTTTTATACGCTATTAAGGGACATTGAGTGTTCTGGGAGAAGACTGGTTCCCCAATGTTTGGTAACTTTCGTTAGAGTTCGGCACGATATGGGATTAGAAACCATGAGCGCTGCATGATTTCAACTTACTCGGGGGGGGGCTAAGCCGCGAGCCACCAACTTAGCCGTATACAGCCCACCCGTCCAACCTTAATGTCTACACTCCGGGTTATGTGGTAGTGCGCGGGAATCTGACATAAATCTTCCCCATGCATGGATTTTTGGACTGCGACGTCCTGTGCGAATACTTTCTCTAACGGGACACTTCAAAGAATACAAAAGAATAGTTTTAGCATAACACCGCTTGGAAATTGTTAAGCACCGGTATCATCCTATAAAACTACATGCACTGCAATGAGGATTGGAGGAGAAAGAGTTTTTTTCTCAAATATGTATTAGAACGGTAAACTAACCTATCCGCGGCAGTTTTTATGTCTCAGTCTGTGGAGGGTTCAAACATCATCTTAACATAAACATGCTGACGCAACACGCGCACCATGTCACTACGCAACGTAAAAACGTTAATATTTGCCCGAAGTTAAGTGTCTTCAAGCTGACAACAAAGTTGAAACGCGTACGTATGTGCTTCTCAATTGCGTTGAATCCAAGCGAACAGGACTGAATCCAAAGAAATTAACTACTCCCCCAGTCTGTTTGATTTTACTTTAGGCTTTGAGGTGGGATCTTGCAGGAAACGTAAAATCCAAAACTTCAATTTACTTTGCACATTCGAATTGCTTTTTATACGCTGTTCCTGTGGCACATATTTCCATTATAGGGTTCGGCGTATTATGTCTGAAGTATCTTTCTGTTTAAGACTTCTATTTCCTTTTTTAGACCATATCGGAAGCCCTAAAAAAATACCTCTCCGAGTAAGAACTTTTACCGTTTCTGATTTTTAAGCGTTGATGGGATAATCGGTATTTATGTGTCCGACAAGGATGGCGCTAGAATAGCTGGCGGTATGTTTATTGTTATCTCACCTCCACAGCTTCAATTGATGAGGTACCTGAGCAGGCTTTCTTAAACTATGTTGTCGCCTCTTTCATTGGATCAATACAACAGGCAAATAAAATAGGCCTCGGGGATTTGTCATACATGGTCACTCGCTATCAGGATATGACCGTAAGTAACCATCATTTTCCTGCCTATCTTCGCTTCCGATGTCTTACCCATCCTTCTTCAGGTCTTGTTATATTATATTTCTT